TCGAAACCTCAATTTGAAGTATCAAACAAACAAAAAAAAAACTATCTTTAATTACAATGACAACATGAACAATCGGAACAATGCCATTTTTCTTTAATCAATTCGTTTCTTGTTTCCTGTTATAAATGTATTTGTTTTATGCGTTCTATTCATGTTGTTGTTGATTTATTCTTGCTGTTACAATATTGTGTATCCCGCAGACAATTACTGAATTAAGATAACCAGCAAAACGCAAAAAATATATATATAAAAAAAAATTGAGGAAAAAAAAAGGGAAAACGGAAATATGAAGTGTTGATTATTCATAGATCATGTGAGAATTGTACAAATATGGATTGGCTAAAAAGTATATATGGACAAGACAAAGGATTATAGTATACAGGAAGGTCGGTAATACTTCCATGATATGTATAATGTAGAATCAGATGACCACTACCACCTCACCATTAGTAATGAAAGCAAATTGAATAAATAAAAAGAAAAAGAATTATGAAAGAAGTTAAAAGAAACATATAGAAGAACAATCAAATCAGTTATTATCTAACATAAAATTCCTGATCTATTTGACGCAAAATAATTTAAATTCATCCAAAAAGAAAAAAAGAGTGGGAGAAATTTTGCAACTTTTAATTTCTAAGGAATTAATATCACACTGAAAGGGCTGTCGAATATGTATTACACACGCCTAATAATAATTATGAATGGGAATGTGATATTTTTGATTGGATTGATCTACAATAACCAAAAAAAGCAAACCACCCACCCCCTTTTAATGTCAAAATGATGAGCTAATCTTAATGTACAGAAAAAGAATACAAAGCAAAACAAAAGAACAAGTCTCGAGGAGTCAAGGTACATTGATAGGAAGTATAACATTTTGTTACACTTCTAATACACATTGATATGTATAGATATATACACTCTTATGATTTGTTCTTGGTTGGATGCACAATATCATAACCTTTGTTCAACACAAGTCTCCAAGATGCATAAATAATTCCTTTTTGATTTGGGACAAGTGCGCACAGTAACAGCTTATGTGAACTTTCTTTTACTACAGGACAATTTACCGCTGATCATTTTTCATTTTGTTACTTCATGGGTTTTTTTATTTTTCAATACATTATTTTATAAAGGAGTAAAGAACAAGCCAGGGGAAACCACAAAACTAGAGAAGATGTTACTAAATTATAATATTCGCTTCGGAATGAACTTTATTCTCCGGAATATTGTTCGATTTATTAAATTATTTTATTTTAAATTTTTGAAATATGAAAAAGAAAAACTTAGCCATTCATTCAAGAAGGGGAGAAGTTTTATTTTTTTCAGCAAGCAAGTAAAACAATCAGTGAGATGGAAAGTGAAAGAAATTCGGATGATAATGCAATTTGAATAATTGATATTTAAATAGAAACAGAAATAGAAATAGAAATAAGAATTTTCACAGAATCAATATCAATATATACACAAAAATATACGTTTTCCACCTCCATCAAACCAATATACTAAAAGGCTTTCCTTTTTTTCCCTTCCCACGTAGTAGAATTCCTTCAAGTTCTAGCCAATTATCAAATTAGCTTGATTGCATTTACTTTCTGCTTTTGCATAGGGGTTCCGGATCATGATGGAACATGACTTGTAGAGAGTGGAGGGAGGGGGGGGGAGGAGACAGAAGATGAATGAAGATAATTGTTTTAATTCATTTGTAATAATTACTCTATAATTTATAAAATTTGAATCAGTGATTGGGTTTTATATTGTTTTACGGATCGGAATGAAGATAAATTATAAACTTGATTATATCAATCCCGAAAAGATAATTGAAATATACGCATGCATTGACAAAAATAAAATAAATACATAATAAAACAACCATAATACCATCTCTTGAATCATCGTTAACCATTAAACATGGGCCATTGTAGTGTTGAGTGATAAATAAGCCATGTAATGACATTCAAATTAGACTTTGTTATAAAAACAGATTTAAGGTTTAGGTAAATATTCAAAGTAGAACAAGGATGATGAGGTCGATAAGACACCAAAATGATCTATAAGTAAAACGTATTAAAAAGAAAAGAAACCACGTAAATTAAAGAGTCGGAATTAAATAAACCTTAATAGTATCTTCTAATAAAGAAAGGGAACAATAGAGAGTTCTGGGTGTGTATTCTAATCGTTATTGTTTTAGATAAGAAAGTATCAAGAGTTAAAAAAGAAAATAAAAAACACCGCATTATCGCCTATACTAGTTGTTCCTTTTCACTAACCTAATGTTTTTGTTTTGGGTTCGGTATCAGTTGTGGATATCGTCCTCCCCACTTCATTCATTACCACATATAAGAAAATATTACCTGCCTGATGTGACAAAGTTTGTCTGGTTTCCCACGGTTGCTTTTTTTTTTTTCATTATGTTCATTCACTGATTGTTTAAGATATTTTTGGCGGTTACAAAAGAATACGAATATTTCAAAAATGGTAATAAATAGCAAGCGTTGTGACAAAAATCCGCGTAGAAGAACCAAAGCCCACAATATATACAAGTTTTATTCTATTGCTCTATGCATAACTGAAGATTGTTGTGGCATTAATGGAAATAAGGTTAGTCCTTCAATTTTCAAGCGATGCAGATAAAGACAAAAAGTGTGTATATGGACAAAGATGACGGGTAGTGAAATATACATCTAGTATAATAATTATTTTTAGACCGGATGACTATATCCACTCAATAATATTTTATTTAATAAAAATACATCAATCTAAATTTTCTTATCCCTTAATTTTTGGGGGGTAGTATGCCAATTGGATATGAATTTTTTTTATTACTGCAAAAAAAGAAAATCAATAATCAATGAGGAATTTGTGCTTTGTTTTTGGCTCATTTCCGGTGGTATAGGGGGGTTGGGACTGGGGGGAATAAGTTGAGCTAACATCGACCTAATTTTACTACCAAAAAAAAAAAACGAGAATTTCCACAAAGACCAAAATTTACTATCATGAAAAAAAAAACTAGACATTGACTACAACGATTAGTGATATGATGTTAAACTTTATTGAAATCAAAAAAAAAAAAAAAAATCATAGGACTAACGGATTTATCATCTTTGGGCTTAAAACTATGAAAGAGAAATTAATATTGGTAATGAGATGAATATCAACTTCGACTTGAATCATCTCATCCCGAGTGAAAAAAAAAAGAAAAAGAAGTAAAAAGTGTAACTTGGATTGTTGTTGTTGTTGTTGTTGTTGTCGTTGTTTTTTTTTGCTTTTGCTTTTATTCAGTCATTCATCCATGTAGGATATTTATTCTCCAACTCTAATTGAATATGTCCTTGCTATGGTGAAGGTGAGGTAAGTTTAACCGGTGGTGATAATTTTTTTTTAATTCACTCTTGCCCTTTTATTTTTTTATTTTTCTCACTCCCCCTTTCATAATCAGGATAGAGTCAGCTTGAAGATGATGAATTCTCAAAACCATGTTCAATCAATTCCTCCTCCTGTATGTGTTGCGTTCATCCAAGGAAGAGATGTAAAATGAGTTAAATTATAATTTCCAGATTTTCTGTTTTTTTTTAGTCTCAGGTTACTTGTTAGAAAAAGTAAATGAAAATCTAGAAATGTGGGATTTCTTCTAAATTTGCAATTTGGTGATTAAAGCGAAAATTACACTAAACAATCTGCTAGGGTTATTGAAAAGAATTGTTTTTTTTACTAGACCATGCATGTAGTATGTGCACAGCAAGGTTAAAAAGAAAAAGAGAGAAGAACAAGAGACCTTTGTCACAAACAACTCTTGTTGTTCATCTTGTTATTGTGATATGTGAAAATAAAAATAAAAAAAAAAAAATTTGGTGTGGACACATTTCACTTTTGAGTGTATAAACCATAATAATTTTTTTTTTCAGTGCAAGGGTTATAATTCATTACTAATGAGACAAGTTCCAAGGCGAACTAATAAAGCAAAACAAAAAGGAAAAATCACTTGCTTTCGAAGAGTTTTTTACAATAGTAATACACTATCAAGATTCAAATATAAATATCCAACCTCTTTCCCATGATCTTCCCAAAAATTTTTTTTATTTCTAGATCATTTGTAGGATTTTACTGTTTTATTTACTTAATCTCATACTCAACCCTGCCGGTTATCCATCTTTCTTTTTTTTATTTTTCAATAACTTATATCACCGGATTATCATTCATTAATTTGAAATAGTTATCTTATTGTTTGTTTACATTTCAAATTATTCACATTGTTTATACTTGTATTACGGGGGAGGTCATCACTTATTGCTTATAAATTCTTTTTCCAAGTAATACGATCCCTTTTTTGAATCATCATCCCTGATATTATAGAACTAACGGTTATCAATTTTTTGTTTTCTTACATAAGAAAGGGAGTCATCGTTTTAGTTTTTTTTGTGGGTCACATTGCCTTTTTATTTTAAGCTTCGAAGAAGAAAGAAGTACAAGACTATTTCCATTTCTTTTAGTTATTTCCATTTGTTTTAGTCAGTTTCCGAGAAGATTACTAAAACGACTCTTTGCTACTTCCGGGGAAGTCAAAACAAACAAGGTTCATTGCTCAGATTTTCTAGGTTCGGAAATCCTTCCCATTCATTACTAGCTCCATCTCCGCGTGCTAAGGAAAAATTAAAGCCGAGCGATATTTTTTATTTTTTGGGTGTGTTTGCGTGTTTTCAGTTTAGAGCCCATATTAGGTGGTAAGACGCACAAACTAAGTTGGTTTAGCTCCGAGGGAATAACATCCGACTTGCAAATTCTTACCTTAGTGTCTCGCTACTGTATTAACATTATTGCTAATTCCATATATATAATAGCCGTTTTCCCATCAACTGTTTTTATACTGTCTCAGATTATCCCATTTCATTTTAGGTCTACCCCTTAAGTTTTTTATTTTTTATTTTTATTTTTACTTTTCAGATATTATTTGAAATTATTTATTTTTTTGCGTTCCTTCATTCCTTCAAGATATAATTACCATGTCAGAAGATCATTCAGCTCATCAACTACTTAAGAAGAAAAGAGTGGGCAAAGCATGTGATTCATGTCGTATCAAGAAAACCAAATGTGATGGTAAGAAGCCATGTAATAGATGTATCTTGGATAATAAAATATGTGTGTTCACCGAAAAAAAGAAACCCAAGGAAAAGAAACATCCTTTGGGATATGTTGAATTATTAGAAACAAGGTTAGACATATTGACAAAACTGTTTGAAAAATTAATTACATTATCAAGACCACATTTACAGTTTATTGAAGATATAGTATCGGAATCAAGTTTGGAATCACCTGTTTCATCAATAGACGATGGTAATAATCAACATATGGATACTTCTCCTAGTGAGGATGGTGAAACTCAAGTGGTACCTATAAATAAAGTTGTTTGTTATTTGATTAATCAAAAGGGCTTATTAGATAATTTACCTGTTGAATGGGAACAAGGTGCTATGATTGCTGCTAACTACGATTCAAATAAGAATTTAGAAGAATCCTCAAAATTATTTGCGGAACATAAACTAGACAACTCAAACAATCATCAAACTTCTTCACCAATTTTATCTCCTACTACACAAGTTAAACGTAGGAATTCAAAGAAAAGATCATTGAGTAAGAATCTGATTCTGCTGATTCTGCCACATCTGCAAGTTCCACCACATAATCATAATCATCATTCACATTCATACTCACATTCACATTCACAGCCTGTTGATCAGATCCAAGAAGATGAATTTTCTCCAGAAGAACTGTATTTCCCAACTGATGGTCCTTTTTTAAAAAAAGAGCCAATATCTCCTCATTTCAGCCATCATACTCCAGTTGCTAGTAATCATCACCAACCTCAACAACAATCAACTCAATCACAGTTTTCCCTAACAGAATTTAATCCTAATTTTTATTCCTCATCTCATGATGGTAATATTTCCGATATGGATAGTGATTCATCTAATAAAGATAATGAAAATCATTCAGATTCAGTCTCACCTCAAAACTTAAATGATTATAGAACTTCATCTTTATTTTCCAATTCGGGAGATATGCCAATGATTGGTAAAACATCATCTTTAACTTCATTAACCAATAAATATGAAAAACATACATTATCATCACCACAATCAACTACTGCTCCAAGTTCAATTTTCACTAATGCTGATCCAGTATTGGCAACTTTAAGACGTTCATCATCTTCACTTTCACAAAAAACCATGGGTTCAATTACAACTACTACTGGAGGTGTAGTTCAAAAATCTAAACATAGTGTTCATAAACCATCGCATCATCATTCAAGAGTATCATCATTTGATAAAAGATTAGATAATGTAAGTATTCATTCCACTACAAGTCATGCTAACTTTACATTTGATACTAGATATGAAGAATTGGATGATAATAGTAGTACTACTGGCGGTTTTAGTAATTATATTGCTCCTCCATTACCTCAACCTCCAAGTCCCTCAGATACAAGTCTTGTTTTCAGTTCTTTGGGTAGTCATTTAAATGTGAATACTGGTAATGGTGGTAATACTGTTGGTGGTGCTTCTACTGCTGCTTCTACTGCTGCTGCTACTGCTGCCGCCGGTGGTGGTGGATTAGACTTATTAGTTGATAATTCGTTTGATCCGTTTTTTAATAATAATAATAATCCATTTACTGGTAAATACCAAATGGGTTGATAAATTTTAGAGATGATATTACATTAGAGATACCATTTTACGTTATTTTAGTATTCTTTTCTTATTGTTTTTTTGCTCATTAAGTCTTCAATCGTTATTATTTTCTTTTCTTGTTTGCTTGTATTTTCTATGTATTTTAATATATTCTACATGTTATTTTTATGATCTCGTACATTAATTTAATTTACCTAAGAAAGTTTATCATGTAGTTATTGACAGGTCTTCCTTCTGTATAAACAGTAAATATTCCAATGATGATAAATGATATATATCTTTATATTGCCTTTTTTTTTTCTTCTAATGCATATTCTATTCTTCAGATGTAACTTTGCAATTAGTAAATATTATGTAACTTTAAATATGGTTATGATAATTGGACAGAATAACAAAATGAAAAGACAGACATGCAAAACAAGCTAAAAAAAAGAAGGATAAATCCCCCATACTAAATAACATCTACCAGTACAAAACTGTTATATCCTACAGATACGTCTTCCTGGCCCCCCAAAAAGAAGAATTGAAAATACAGGGAAAGACCAAATTGGTTGCTCGTTGCAACTTCAAGCGATACAAGTAAAAATATATCATAAAACGATAACCTGTTAACAAAAGAAAGAAAATCTTTTTAAACCAGGATACATAAAGAAGAAAAGAGGGTACAACTAATAGCAAGTAGATAATTGAAGTAGTAGTAGATCAATATTGATATCATTCTCTTCATCATCAGCATCTAAAGATTGCTTTCAAGAATGATAGATTTTGCTTCTGTATATCTCTCTATGTCAGTAACAATAATAGTAGTAAAAATGTTTTTACTGCAAGTAAGAATTAAAAATGGTTCCGAACCGGGAGAACTTTATTGAAATCTGAGTCTTGTCGAAAAGAAAGTTGCAAAAAAAAAAGGACATTTTACATCAGCCACATATGCTTTGTACTTCCTTGTTTCCGATTAGAATTCAATAGTCAGATTATAGAAGTCTAAATATTTAGCACCCAAAAAAAAAAATAATACAAGTAAGAATCTTACGATTAGATATTATATTTTCTTCCAATCAATAAAAGATATTTATTATTTACTTCATGAAAGTATTATTTTTACCAAGAGAATCGGTGTTTAACCTTGAAATGGCAAGTAATGATGCAAATTTGTACCAAGGATAATGAGTATAAAGTACTAAGAAAACAAAGCCCAACACTATATAGTATTGTTTCTCTTTTGACTCTCACGTTCGTACTAAGAGTGATCACATTGTCTTTGTTTGAAAAAATAGTTAATGCATCGCTTAAAGGGCGGGTTTTAAATTCCCTTTTTATCATCCTACTTTTCCACTAAATGTAATATCTATTTACATATTGTGTGCTAATATACATATATGCATACGGGAGACAAATGTGCGAAGAAAAAAACAAATACAGATATAGCAAGACTAGTGATGACTATTCATGTGCATTGTTTTCATCATAATCATCATTTAAGAAAAAAAAAAAGAAAGGAAACATACGTGTATCCACTGTTACGAACTATCCCCCCAAATAACATGAAAAATAGTAATGATAGAATAGTTTCAGTGAAATCTAGATTTTTTTTTTTAAGAAGTACTACTAAGAAGAAACGTTAGATTCAATAAATACTGGCTGTTTATAGGGATATATGTATTTTGTGTAATTATCATGTTAATTTTTGTGCATCAATTAGAATTCGTGAAAGTGTCCACTCTACATGGGAAATGAGATGGAATAATTACTTAAATTGGCAATTTTCTAGAAATATTCCGAGTGTTGTATTCAATCCCGAATCTACGCTGAAAGTTGAAATTCTATATATAGAATTATTCTTTGTAATATTGATAACCAACTATAGCAACTGAAAAAGATTAGATTAGATTAGATGAGTTTAATATTGATGAAAGTTGAATTATAAACTAACTGAAATTACAGTCTGATACTCCCCAAATGGTATAGTCACAGTCAAACACATAGCAACCAAGATTATAACCACTAGTACAATCCATATCATTTCATTGCATTCCTTCTTTCTCGTATGTTGATAGTTATAACCTTCTAATTTCTTTTTCGGAATATAAAGGACCATCCGAAGATTTCTTTTCTTGCTCCGAAATTCCGCCTACCATAAAAGAAGATATACTACATCCCTCCATCTCTCCCTAAAAATATGATGGGAACCACTTATATTAGTAGGTCTTACTTGTATCTATATTTTCAGGTTATAAATATTGATTAGCTTTAAGCCAGTTTTTACGTTTTAGTTTCAATTTATCGAAATTGACATGTCACGTGTTGAAGATTTTTTATTTTTTAATTGTTCTCACATTATTAGATTTGAAATTAAAACCTTAAAATGATTTTTAATATAACCATTATTTTTAATAACTTCCGAGTATTTAATTTAGGATTGCAATTACTTTGAAAAATAATCCAGTAACTACTGCCGTTCAAACCCCCTCTTCCCTTTCCCCCCCCCATATTTCCCTTTTTGACTCCTTCAATATATTTTCACAAAAGAGAATAAATTATGAGCTTCTTCTCCTCGTCCTTCTTTCTTGTTTTTTTTTTTTTTCTTTCTTTTGATACTTATTAATTTACTACTAACTTGTAGTAATATTCAATTTGGGGGCCATTTCGGAATATATTATTATATAGAACAATAATTATGTTCTCGATCTTTTTTTTTGTTGTTGTTTATTTCATGGTTATAATATTCTAAGACATTCAGTTTATCTCTATCAATGATATAATGCTATTTATTTTGTAACTACTATCAATGCTATTATTCTCTAAAAGCAATCTACACAAATGGAAAAGAGATAGGGAGAAAGATGGAGGAAGAGATTTCTCATAACTCATGTTATTCCTTATATTTCTTGAAAAAAAAATAGTATATATTTGCTACTTGTGTGCTTGCTTGCTTCTTGTCTTGATTTTAGTGTAACCCGAATTGACACTTGGTAGTTCTCGATTTTGAAAATTCATGAAATAAAAATTTACTGATGAATGACAAAACTGAAAAAAAAAAGAACCTGGAAAATCAGAAGAAGAAGAAGAAGAAGTAAAACCGTTGAAGTTTTCGATTTTTGTTGTTCATTAAAAAAGAAACTGAAATATGCAATATTAAGTAAAATCCTGATAGGAAAGATTCGATAATACATTAAGCTTTTTTTTTGTGTTTGAAATCAAAACCACGATACATATTGACAACTTATTTCTTTTTTAGGGGATTGGTTAATGAATGGTAAGTATAACCATTATGACTATTAACATAGTCATTAATGTTGACTATATTTGTCTTATTGTATGTCATACAATGGCAATGCTTAAGATACTAACTATTCTTTTGATAATAGCTTATTATGTTTGATTTTTTTTTATTAGTATTAATCCAGTTAATATTGCGTGCATTTTTTTTTATATGTATTAATCTAGTTTTGTTCTACTTGATTTTCCAATCCTTGCATTGAATAAATTTTATGACATAATTTTGAGTTATTATTTACATTTCTTAAATCAACAGACTCGGATTCGGAATAGATATTCTCCTACGGTTATCTATTTCAATTACCCCTGGTAATGGAAAGTTCAACCGAGATTTAAGAATTTGAAACATTATTTCATTTTTAGAAACTTATTGAATATTTTTTATGTGTTTAATTTAGGTCATGAAATTAAATTCAAGAATAACCCATAATGCTTCAAATTCTTCTATTTCCATTTCCATTTCCTTTTCCTTTTTTTTTTCTTATTATGCAAGACCAATTATATAACCCTGTTTTTACTTCAATCTATATGGTTTTGTTGATTTTCTTTGGTAACAAATCAAAATTTTTAATACTTTTTACATGTTGTGTTACATGTACAATAATAATGACCATTAGATGTATTTGGATTCAATACTACACCCTTTCTTTCTTTTTGTATTTAAACTAACATGTATATGCAAATTGGTTCTTCGGATTTTTGTTTCATTTCAAAAGCATTCTGTACGTATAAGTATTCATTTATTTCGTTGCGGTTGTTTTTGATTTCGCAATATTTTTTTTTTTTTTTTTTTTTTTTTTTTTGCAATTTTCTTTTACTAATTTTTAATAAGTAATTTATAAAATAGCGAATATCCACTTCCTCATTTAAATCAGTTATTTTTTTTTTCGTTTTTGTTTTCGAGGAGATTTAAATGCAAAATTATCATAACTCGAAATAGTTTCTATAGCCTATACTTTCAACCTCAATACCCCCTTATTATCCATTACTAATGATGTTCAGATATATCGCTCAACCCCCATTTTTCTTTTCCTTCTCTGTGTTCTACTCTATCCTAGTAACCAGAAAATTTCATACAACGGCGAGTTTTCAAGAGTTGACACGCAACTTTACTTTTGGTTTTTTCGCACACTCGAGTTGTTCCAATAGTTAGAAATCCCAACAATCGTTGACTATGATATCTAGGATTTACGTTTGACACACATGAAAACATATATCCATAATGAAATAAGCCACCAATCAATACATTAGTACTAAAAAACAAAAAAAAAAAAAAACTATTATTTTAGTAATTCTTTAAATTTTTGACGTTTATTGTATATCAACCCGCCTCTTCGGTTGTAATAGATCAATTAAACAATACCTTATTCAAACACACACACACACACATACACACGTTTGCGGGAGTTTTTATTATTAACGAACTGAAATTCAATCTCCTCATTTCTCTTCATATAGTAGAGGTTTTTGTCATAAGCCCAATCGGAGTTACAATGTTATTTTACTATTTCCGATTGTGAATTAAACTTTTCCAATGAATTTAGATCATCCCTATATTTATAAATCCGATAAAAGTTTATACAATCGAAGAAAGTGTCATCACTTTCTATAAAAGTTTTATTTTTTTTTGCTTGTTTGACATTATCTTGAAAAAGATTTACAATGATTGCAAAATCAAAAGAGTATTCTGTTATTTTTTTAACATATTCTTAATCTACGGTAAGAATTAACTAATATCATACAGCAATCTAAGACAAACAGAATTTAGTAATCATTATAAGTTCGTATATTTCGGTAATAGTAACTATCATCCCTTATCAAAAGAGTAGACTAAAATAAAACAAAGAAAACTATTACAAATGAATCAAGGAGCGTCAGTACATTCCCAATCAGTTGGTTCATAAGCTTCAGGTTGATCAATAAGTTCAATTTCTTCAGTAGTCAATTCAAATCCATCAATTTGTAAATTTTCTTTTAATCTACTTTCAGTTTTAGTTTTAGGTAATGGAATATAACCTTTTTGTAAACTCCATTTAATTAAAATTTGTGCTGGAGTTTTATGATATTTAGCCATGATTTTTTGGAAATTTTTATTTGAATTTGCTAAAGATTGTAATTTCATACCATGAGTCAAGGGAGCATAAGCTTCAACATTAATACCTTTATCTAAACACCAAGTGGCCAAATCTTGTCTCATACACCAAGGACTAATCTCAATTTGATTTACAGCCGGTTTGATTTTAATATTATCATCATTTAATAATTCTTCAATATGATGTTTACCATAATTTGAAACCCCAATATTTTTAATAAATCCTTTTTCAACAGCATCTTGCATAACATTCCAACTTTCTAATCTTTTTTCTTTCCCAGGTAATGGAGAATGAATCAATAATAAATCAATATATTTCAAATCACCAATTTGTTCCAACATGGTTGAAATTGCTTGCTTGGTATTACTTGTACCAAGTTGATTGTTCCATAATTTGGTAGTATAGAAAAACTCTGATCTTGGTATTTGTGGATTATCTTTTAAAAACTCACTAATTCCTTCAATTACTTCTTCTTCATTACCATATAAAACAGCAGTATCGAATTGACGATAACCAATTTTACAAGCTTCATAAACAATTGATGATGTTTTGTTTCTTGGGATATCATAACATCCCAAACCAATTGATGGAATGGTATGACCTGAATTGAGTTTAATTAACCTGTATGACATATCGTGGTGTTTGTAAAATAGTGTAGTGTGATGTCTATATATCAATTAAGAAGGAGAAAAAGGTGATGTTGATCTTGAGAATTGCAACTGGAGATAGCGATCGTTCAATTTTGTGGGGGGATAATCGACGAAGACGAAGTGGGAGTGAGAGGCAAAGGACGTGTGCAAATCACCGAAAATTAAAACCCCCAAACATTGCCTGTGAAAGAGTGAGTGAGAGCAAGTTAAACGAACAGCCAAAAAATAAAAAACCTGATTCTATTCTAAACGACCCAACAATCCCCCATACTTTTCCCTAGTTCCAGCACCAACAACCCTTTTAAAACATTGATGGCAAATTTTCATCTTACTGCAGATTATCAAGATTAGTTCATCAATTTTTTTTTTCTTTTTGCAGCCTTCTTGATCTCTCGGAGCTTAGTCGAATTTTAACCCCGGCATTTAAGAACTTATCTATACACACACCTGATATCATGAAACTCGGAGGTAGATCATATGGGAATAAAACCCGGGGAAATTCGAAATCCTAACCTCGTGTTGCAACTTTGAATTTTTTTTTTTAACTCCTCAATTTGTCCGAGGAAAAGCCAAAATGTGCGGCACGTGAATCCGGTACACGGGAATTTGAGCCACGCACTTTCAAATGCGTTGAAGATCAACTTATGGTGAGAGGGTCGTGCACTCTGATCCATGTTCCAGAAATGATCTTTTTTTTTTTGCTCTCATTAATGCGAGGGACAAAAAAAAAAAAATTAGAAGTAAAAATTAGATTGCTGGTGGCAAAGAAGACAAAACCAAAAAGTTATAGTGTGCGAGTGGTATGATGATACCGAAATAATGGTTACTTTGCATTTGGTTCACACCACTACCGGTAAATAAGAAGAATTTAGTGGTTAGTCGTTATGGAGGACAAAATAGAGATCAATAAATCAGTCGAATTACTCCAGTCGTCAGGATATCTCCAATAATCGGAGTAATTGACCCCAATTGTTTGTTTACTACGTCATTCCTGGCAGTATTCGAGAAAGATTAGTCCGACAGAGAAGAAAAACAAAATTAAAAGTTCAAAGTTGCAGGAGAAACGGAGCCTTCTCCAGCAGCAGCAACAGCAGCAGCAGTAGCAGCAACAGAAAAAAAAAATAATTGATCTTCATCTAAGGGGGAGGGGTGAGTCAGAGATATAGGGATGGATGTTTACCGATGGTGAATATATTTTATTATAACTTTGAAAAATGTGTCAAATAAAGACCAATTGTATCAATTGAGTCGTTTTAAACAATTATCTCTACAGCAATTGTAACCTCTACAGGAAACGTTTTTCTCAATGGTCGTAATATTTTGCAATCGGATGGTATGGGTTACAGAACGTGACATATTTTTCTTTACCTGTTGGATCAGGTGTTTTTTTTTGTTGATCTATCCAACGTTTGGTGTAAGCTCGTGGTGTGCTCTGCAAAAATTTTTTCTCTCTCTTTTTTTTTTAGTAGCCTGCTTGCGTGCGTGAATCGGGCACCTTACTCATTTGAATCAATCAGTAGGTGAGACAATGGATGATACTGCCCCGGGCGAGGCGTGCCCGACACAAACCACTATTATGCAAAATGAGAAAAAAAAAATTAGTGTGTCTGTTAACTACTGGAACACACTCACTCACACAACACCACCCTATGATTTTTTTTCCTTTTTCCAACAATCAAAAAAATTTCTGACAAATTATAAAATAGCCCTTAAATCCCCCCCTTGTTTCATTTTTTTTATTCTCCTTTTCTTTCTTCTTTTCTACATCAATCAATTGACTTTTTATAACTCAATTAATTAAATCAAATCACTTACAAATTAAATTTTAACAATGGCTGCTATTAAAGTTGGTATTAACGGTTTCGGTAGAATCGGTAGATTAGTCATGAGAATTGCCTTGGCTAGAAAAGACATTGAAATTGTCGCTGTCAACGATCCATTCATTGGTGCTGAATATGCTGCTTACATGTTCAAATACGACTCCACCCACAGAACCTACGAAGGTGAAGTTAAAGCTGAAGGTGATGCTTTGATCATTGATGGTCACAAGATCCACGTCTTCCAAGAAAGAGACCCAATTAACATTCCATGGGGTAAGAACGATGTTGAATACGTCATTGACTCCACTGGTGTTTTCACCAAGATTGAAGGTGCTCAAAAACACATTGATGCTGGTGCCAAAAAAGTTATCATCACTGCTCCATCTGCTGATGCTCCAATGTTCGTTGTTGGTGTTAACGAAGACAAATACACCCCAGACTTGAAGATCATCTCCAACGCTTCTTGTACCACTAACTGTTTGGCTCCATTGGCTAAAGTTATTAACGATACCTTCGGTATTGCTGACGGTTTGATGACCACTGTCCACTCCATCACTGCTACCCAAAAGACCGTTGACGGTCCATCCCACAAAGACTGGAGAGGTGGTAGAACTGCTTCTGGTAACATTATTCCATCTTCTACTGGTGCTGCTAAAGCCGTCGGTAAAGTTATCCCAGAATTGAACGGTAAATTGACTGGTATGTCTTTGAGAGTTCCAACCACCGATGTTTCCGTTGTTGATTTGACTGTTAACTTGAAGAAAGAAGCTACTTACGAAGAAATTTGTGCTGCTGTCAAGAAAGCTGCTGAAGGTCCATTGAAGGGAGTTTTAGGTTACACTGAAGATGCCGTTGTCTCTTCCGACTTCTTGACTTCTTCTTACTCCTCTGTCTTTGATGCTAAAGCCGGTATCTTGTTGACCCCAACTTTCGTCAAATTGATCTCCTGGTACGATAACGAATACGGTTACTCCACCAGAGTTGTTGACTTGTTGCAACACGTTGCTAAAGTTTCTGCTTAACTCAACAACAAGCTTTGAATAGACCTTGTTAACAATTGAGAAAATTTAAGTAAGAAAAAATTAAAAAAGATTTAGGATGAACATATATAGGTTTTATTTTTAAATAGCTGCAAAATTAGTCTTTGGGCTTTTTTTTGGAATTGTTTATATATATTATCAAATATGTTTCTGAATATATTGTGATTTTTAAAGAAGAAAAATATTTCAAAGTCTCGTATGAATTTTTCAAATCACGAACTTGAAAAAAAGTAAACATAAACAAACAACTTCTTTTTTTTTGTTTTTCTTTCTTGAGCTATACGAGCTATACAATGTCATCACAAGATATCATTCCATCATTACTACTAAATCAAACATTCAAAAGTTACAAATCAAATTCATCACTTTCATTATCATCTAAATTAACAAGAAAACAATTAGAGAAATTTAGAATTAAATTGGCTAAATTTTTATATCAACGATATCAACAAAATTTGAGGAATAATGATAGTTTGATAATTCAATATGAATCATTTAGAGATATAATCCCTGATTTGACTATAATTAATGATACTATAAATAATAATGAATCAAGATACAAGATACAATATTTAATAATTAAATTAGAAAATAGTCGATTGTTACCCCGTCAAATTCTATTATTTGTATCTAACCAGAAGGAAAATGATGATGATGATAATACTAATGAGAGAGCAAACACATTAGTGTTGAATAGAATGAGTGGGATGAATTATCAAGTGATAAATGATTATATTTTAGAATTATTAGAAGATATTAATGATTATCCATTAATTATTAAACCCATAACATTGGCTTCTTCCGTTATCCCTGATTTAATCAATAAATTTCTGAATCAAATAGAAAAATTAAACGATTTGCAATTAGTTTATTCAATCCCATCTACAAGATTAAGAAATTTTATCATTGATATACCCAAAAAAGATCTTGATTTGTTACTACTATCTCCGAAAACATCATCAAATAATCCAAAATTATATAACGATATCTGCGAATTTTTGTACAACACTACCAAAATTAAATTTAATAATTTGATAATTGAAAAATTCATAAATAATTTGATTAATATATCTAATGATGGTAAATTTAAATTACTTGTTAATGATTATGAATTAATTTGGTATTTATTTGAATCTATTAAATCCAACGTGTCACGTGTGTGATGGTCATGTGTGTATAGTATTAATAGTAGTAGTAGAAGATTCGTTAAATTCTATTCTCCAACGTTAATACAAACCGACACACGCGTGTTGTGATTTATTCTTCTTGTTCTTCTTCTTCGTGGCATTAAAAAAATTGCGTGTCGAAATTGAAAATTGAGAATTGAAAATTGGACACGTTCGCACGCCCATAGTTAAAAATTTTTTTGATTGTATTACGTGTTCCCTAAAAATTTTCTTAGGCCAACGGGGGAGAGAAGAACAACGGGAAGAACAAGCAACAAACAACAAGCAACAAACTACAAAACAACAACGCACAGATTTTCAATTAAATTAAATTGAATATTTTCAATTCACACTGCGTTTAATTTTTTTTTTTTTAATAGAATAGAATACAAATTTTCACCAATTTACATTTCAATTCTTTCTTTCTTTCTTTCTTTCTTTCGACTTTTGATTTAGACAACCCCCTTCTTCTTCTTCTTTTTTTTTTCCTAATTATCACATAATGTCTACTTCTGTTGAACCAAATGAAACAGAAGCCTTGAAGAGAAAAGTTGAAGAATCTTCTTCTTCAACTACTGCTTCAATTGAAGAAAAATATACTGATGACAATGACAAGGACAGTACTAAAAGAACTCAATATGATGAAACTAAAGAAACCATTGAATCATTGAAAAAAGCAGAATCAATTGTTGCTCCACTATTATTCACTTTATTATCATTTTTTGTTAGATTTTATCGTATTTCAGTAAATAACAATGTTGTTTGGGATGAAGCTCATTTTGGTAAGTTTGGATCATATTATTTAAGACATGAATTTTATCATGATGTTCATCCTCCATTAGGTAAAATGTTGGTTGGTTTATCTGGTTATTTGGCTGGTTATAATGGATCTTGGGATTTCCCAAGTGGTGAAAAATATCCAGATTATATTGATTATACTAAAATGAGATTATTTAATGCTACTTTCTCTGCTTTATGTGTTCCATTGGCTTATTTCACCATGAAGGAAATTGGATTCTCTATTGCTACTACTTGGTTATTTACTTTGATGGTTACTGTTGAATCTTCTTATGTTACTTTGGGTAAGTTTATTTTATTGGATTCTATGTTGTTGTTTTTCACTGTTGCTACCGTGTTTTGTTTCTCCAGATTTAACAATTTTAACAATAAACAACAAGAATTTTCTAGAAAATGGTGGAAATGGCTTTTGTTGACTGGTGTTTCCATTGGTTGCACTTGTTCTGTTAAAATGGTTGGTTTATTTGTTACTACTTTGGTTGGTATTTACACCGTTGTTGATCTTTGGAACAAATTGGCTGATAAATCCATTTCTTGGGGTAAATATTTAAACCATTGGTTTGCCAGAATTATTGCTTTGATTGTTGTTCCAATTTCTATCTTTATGCTTTCTTTTAAGATCCATTTTGATTTGTTGTATAAATCAGGTACTGGTGATGCCAACATGTCTTCTCTTTTCCAAGCTAATTTAGTTGGTTCTGGTGTTGGTGGTGGTCCACGTGAAGTTTCCATGTACCATTCTTTTGTTACTTTGAAAAATCAAGGTTTGTCTGGTGGTTTATTGCATTCCCATGTTCAAACTTACCCAGAAGGTTCTAAACAACAACAAGTTACCACCTATGGTCACAAGGATTCTAACAACAATTGGATTTTCCAAAGACCAAGAGGTCAACCACCATATGATCCATCAAACAACAATACTGCCATTGAATACATTATTGATGGTATGCACGTTAGATTAATGCACCCACAATCTGGTAGAAACTTGCACACCCATGATGTTCAAGCACCAGTTACCAAAGGTGAACTTGAAGTTGCTTGTTATGGTAATTTAACCATTGGTGATGCCAAGGATAACTGGATTGTTGAAATTGTTGATCAAGCCGGTGATGAAGATAAAATGAGATTGCATCCATTGACTACTTCTTTTAGATTGAAGAATGAAGTTATGAATTGTTATTTGGGTACTTCTGGTTCTACTTTACCACAATGGGGTTTCAGACAAGGTGAAGTTGTTTGTTACAAGAATCCATTTAAAAAGGATAAGAGAACTTGGTGGAATCTTGAAGATCATCGTAATGCTATATTACCACCAGCTCCAGAAAGTTTCAAATTACCAAAGACTAGATTTATTCGTGATTTCATTCAATTGAATTTGGCAATGATGGCTACCAACAATGCTTTACTTCCAGATAATGATAAACAAGATGATTTGGCTTCATCATTCTGGCAATGGCCAACTTTGAATGTTGGTATTAGAATGTGTAGATGGAGCCCAGATAAACCAAAATATTTCATGATTGGTTCACCAGCTACTACTTGGACTTCAACTGCTGGTGTTATTTTGTTTGCATTTATTGTTCTTTTCTACTTGATTAGATGGCAAAGACAATATGTTGATTTCCCAACTACTCAACCAAATAAATTAAGAAAATTCCTTATGGGAGGTATCTATCCAATGTTTGGATGGGGTTTACATTTCATGCCATTTGTTATCATGGGAAGAGTTACATATGTTCATCATTATGTTCCAGCTCTTTATTTTGCCATGATTGTTTTCTGTTATGAAGTTGATGCTTTTACTTCAAGATTCAATAGACCAAATGCTACACAAGCTCAAAAATTGACTTATGCTGGTATTTATTTCGTCTTGTATTTCTTTGTTGGTTATACTTTCTGGTACTTTAGATACTTATCTTGGGGTATGGAAGGTCCAAAAGAAAATTGGAAACATTTGAAATTATTAGAATCCTGGAGAGTTTCTGATGATAAATATACCTAGATTTTATCTTCGCATTTGTTAATTTTTTCTTTTTAAAAAAGAAAAAGAAAGGAAAGGACGATGATTTATTTTCAAATCATAGTATTTAATTATTTGAAAATTATTATTCCTTCTTTTTATTTGTCATTATTATCATTATTCACTCCTTTTATATAGTTAGGTTATATATAAGTTTTGTAAAAGTAAAAGTAAAAAAAAAAAAAAAAAAAGAGAAATCATTATCATATACATTTATTATTATATATTTTCGAATTCTAAACTTTTTGCAACATCAATGTCGTAAACGCGACATTTCGCCTTTGATCCAACGACATCTCCGAAAACCTGAGCCGAAAAAATAAATATGAAAGCAACGGAAGAAAAAAAATTCTCAACCAATTGTACAATTCATGATAATTACTTACTAAGCAATCTATAACCACACATATATATATATATATATTCAATTAATAATGATAATGATATCAAAAAGTATAAAACATATAAGAATAATACCTAAAGGTTTAACATATCCAATAATAAATATCACACCAATAAGATATAATACTACTAAAATTCTTAAACCTTCATCATTTTCATTCCCTTCAAATTCTCCACCTCCACCTTCTTCACTTAAATCAAATCAGAATCAACAACAACAACAACAACAACAAGAAGAAGTTGAGAAATTTAAAGATGATTTTAAATATACTAGATTAATTCAAGGTAAAACAGATTTACAATTAGGTATAACTGAAAGAGCAAGTGATAAATTAAATCAAATTAAAAAAGATGATAATAATGAAAATTCAGGTTTATTAATTAAAGTTGAAAGTGGTGGATGTCATGGATTTCAATATAATTTAAAATTAATTGATATTTCAAAAGATTTAAATCCACTGGATGAAATTTTTATATTTGAAAGAAATGGTGGGAAAGTTATTTTAGATGAATCAAGTTTAATGATTTTACAAGATTCTAAAGTTGATTATACTAAAGAATTAATAGGTAGTCAATTTAAAATTGTTGATAGTCCTTATACTTCAAGTTCTTGTGGTTGTGGAAGTTCATTTGATTTTGATTTTGATAAATTACAAGAGAAATCAAAGTAGGAAATATTATTTAGGTATAGGGTAATGTAAATAATATATATATATTTATTTATTGAAACAAAGAACAAATATTAAGAAAAAAAAATATAAACAGGATCATGAGTGTTTCATGGGTGTGTTTGAATCTAACTCTTTTCCTTTATCTTTTTTGTTAGTTTGTTTGTTTGTGGATGTTTTATTCTTTGCCAGTAAGGTTGTGGAACGGGAAGGGGGTGTGGGGACATACATAAATATGGCTGTTAATTCATTAAGCCAAAATCTCATTGATACATTTAATACTCTTTGTTGAATAGAATCTAACATCAACATCATCATCATTTTCCAATTTTTCTAAATTCGATAAAATTTCTAAATTTATTAATTTCTTCAATTCTTCTTCTTTTATTGGCAAGTCAACCTTCTTACTAGTTAAAGCTTCAACTAATGTCAAATAAGATTTGGCCACATTGAATCTGATATTTGGTACTGAGTCAGTGATTAAACTATTAATGAATGGCAAAACTTTATCAACCAATACTTTGTAATCAATAACTGGAATTAAACTTGTAATAGCAAATAAACAGGTGATTCTAATTATGAAATTAGAATAATCAATCTTATCTTCTTCATCAATTCTATCACTTTGATTTAACAATCGATCAAGAATTTCTCTTTGGGCCCAATCAGATCCAAATATAATGGTCAATTCTTTCAAGTTATTAACAGCAGCTTCTCTAATAGCAAAAACTGGATCCCATAACCATGACATACATAATGATAATAGTTCTTCGTTGAAAAATGATTCACCCAATTGGTTAGCTAATTTAGGAATATATTCAATTATGGCTAATCTGACTCTCCATTTACCATCTTGTGCCAATTCGGTGATTGCTGGTAATAAATTTGTAGACAACAAGTTAATACCAATAGTCTCATTAACAACAGACAAGTTAGAAATGATATTTAATCTTACATCTGGGAATTCATCTTTCAACATAATCAAGAAAACAGGCAACAATTTGTCGATGGTGGCTTGTTTTTCCAATATTGGGGAAAGTTCAGTGATAGTAGATGCCAAAGAAGCTCTGACATTTTCTTGAGGATCCTGACTCAATTCATTAACAATTGGTACAATCTTGTTTAAAATAGTGGATTTTGTCAGTGGGAATTTAGTCAACAATTGACAAAAGACTGGTAATTGTTTGGCAACAGCTTTTCTGACTTCACCTTCATGATCCTTCATCAAAGCAATAAATGGATCAATCAATTGAAACAAATCCAGTTCATTGTGTGTAAAATTACGGGCAATCTTACTATATCTATCGGCAGCAGTATATCTAACTCTCCAACTTTCATCCTTAATTAATTTCAATGCACTGGATAAGAAATCAGAGTTAAAACTGTATTCATTAATTTTTTGGAAAAATTCCAAAATGGAAATCAAGACATCAACACTCAAGAACTTAACAGAATCTTGATCATCGGTAATCAAATGTTGAAACATTTTGGAAATAATTTCCCAATCTTCATTGGTGATTTTATTAGCATCATTTGGACTCTTTTCAGTGAATTCAGTTAACAAATCAATCAAATGAGGCAAGTTAGTAGCACTAGCTCTTCTTACCATTGGATAATCATCAGTGACCAATTTTAAATATAATTTTAACAAGTTTTGTCTAGTAGCAGCATCAACTTTGATAATGACTGCTTTATATAAGCCACATGCGGCAATTTTTTTCAGGAACCAATTACCTTGACTCAAGTTTTGGATCAAGTTTAAGAAAATCCCGTTGATTTCCTCATTTGTTAATTCCAAACTGATTTTATTTAATGATTCAATGGCTCTATCTCTAACCAAAGGTTCTTCCATGGATGCCAATATAGTCAAGATAGAAATCAATGGTTCGTTATATTCGTGTCCTCCAATTAATGGAATGAAATCACCCAATTTGCTAGCCAATACAGTGAAAACCTCTTCTTCGTCGTCTTGAGCAACGTCGTTAAGGAATGGTAATAATTCTTTCCTTGTTCGTTCTGGACCCAAAGCAATGGCAATGGTGTCTAATTTTTGCATAGCGTCTACTCTATTAGAAACATCGTCGTGTTTCAACTCATCCATTAACAAAGCTAATGGGTATAAGTCATCATTAAAGTTGTCCATTTTTGTCTATGATTTATTTATTGATGTTATTGTTTCGTTGTTGTTGTTGAACTTTTTTTTTTCCTCCTCTCTCTTTTTTTTTTCGTTGTTGTCGTTGATAAAATGTAATTATGCCAGATAATGACGAATGGAAATTGTTAACCTTTTTTTTTGTTTGTATTTTACCAAATGTAAATAAGAACAATAATTAACCAAAAATAAAACCAAAAAAAATTGAAATTGAAATTGAATGAAAAGAATAGAAAATGTTAATACAAATTAATGAATTGATAAAGGGTTGATTAATGGATTGGTTGTCTTGTCTTGTATTAATAAAACAGAAAAAAAAAAAGAAAAATTTTGTTAGCCAAAAAGAAAAGAAAAAAAAAAGAATGAAAGAAAAATTCGGCAACAAAAAATTCAGAGACAACCAGAAAGTGAGAGACAACCAGAAAGTGAGAGACAGACAGCAAAGAAGAAAAAAACTTGCTTCTTCTTCTTTTCGTTCACATTTGACAAAAACTGAGAGTTTTTTTTTTGTTAGTTGAGTGGGTAACTAATTCAATGCGTGAACGCCTCTGCCATCAATCACGTGAATAGGGAATGCATTACCTACAGTCAATTCTACTTAAACTAAACTATCGCTTGTCAAAGAAAAGATAATCATGTCAATGACAAGGACAATGACAAGGACTCAGTAACTGCTTTAATCTCGCTAAAAATTTCTCAACAGTGGGGCAGAAATGATTTATTTTTATTTTATTTGGAGGTGTGTTTGTGTTGCCTAAATATTGTCAGTGGTGACAACCATTCGATTCTTACAGGGCTTAATTGTATATTAGGAACACATTATGGTAACGGATTGTTCCATATATGGTCCAACAATGTTGATTCTCTTATCTCTTCGGAGCATTGCTGTTCATTAATTGAATTTGATTGGTCTGCCTGCATACACCTATGACGTATGAATAAATCGCGATTGTCACCCGACTGGCTGGCAACCACACATTATTGCAAATCATAAACAACCTTTATGTGATTTACACAATTAGCATTAATAGAGCCTATTAATAGTATTGGATCAAGGCATGGCAGTAGAGTGTTATTGGGACCAACGTCACCGGAGAACAATTGCTACCTATGAGTCATATCAAGTGGACAATTTATGTAGATATTCTTTCTGTTAACAATACAATAACGAAACCTAAACGGAAAAAAAAAAATCTTTATGCAAAATTTTCTACTGAACATGAAAAATATTTTTCATACACAAAACGTGGTTATTTAAACTAGTGGTGAGATTCAAACAAATGTTTTCAAATATCTTCTTTTTATTCTTTTATTATCTAAATAACTTATTATTAAACACGAGCATAATGTCTAAAAATATCCCTAATAAGTCTGATGTCAAGGACTCCATAATCTCGGAAACCAACAGAGCCGAATATTACAGTTTATTGAAAGAATACAACTCCAAGAAATCATCACACTGGGTCTTTTCCGTTGTTCCAGGTATTTTCCAACAATCTTTAGAAGATACCGATGAAACCAAGTTTGATACCATTAAAGAACACTTTGGGATCATTCCTACTTGGGATGAAGTGATCAACCAATTACACACCTTGAATGACAACACCGATGATGATGTTCAATATAAATTATTCTTTTTGGCAAGACACGGTCAAGGTTTCCATAATGTCAAGCATACTGAAAACCCAGAATTATGGGATAGTTATTGGAGTCATTTGAACACTGATGGAAAAATCGTTTGGGGTCCAGATCCTGAATTGACAGAGTTAGGTATTCAACAAGCTAAAGATAATAATGTTGCTTGGAAAGGGGAAATCACCAATAATAAGAATGAAAATCCAAAATTGATTGTTCCTACTAGGTTTTATTCATCACCTTTTAGAAGATCAGTGGATACATTGATCAACACTTGGGAAGGTATTGTAGATTTGAAAGAAGTCAAACCATTGATTCAAGAAAACTGGAGAGAAACTATTGGTGAGCATACTTGTGATATGAGATCCAATAGAACTACAATTGCTGGTAAGTACGAACCATTAGGAATTGAAATTGAACCCGGCTTTGAAGAAGAAGATATTTACTGGAAACCAGATTATAGAGAAACCGTTGCTGAAGAAGCAATTAGACACAATGCAGGATTACAAGAAATATTTGACAATTATCCAAAAGACGAAGTTATTAGCATAACAAGTCACAGTGGTAGTATTAGAGCTCAATTAATGGTATTGGGACATAGACCTTTTGCTATTGGTACCGGTGGTATGATTCCAGTATTTGTGAAAGCAGTTAAAGTTAAGTAATAGACTTTCTGTAGGTAGCACTAGAATCAATATAGACCGATAACGTGATTAGACATCGTATATTAATACAACATCCGTGTTGATTTTAACTACCAGGAGAAAAACTTCTAGAATATTCACAAAACGTGGGATCTTGTTGCACAGCAATCGAACAACTAAAAGAAGAAGAAAAAAAAAAGTATAAAAGGTGGGAATTACCTCCGAATCAATTATGATATTTGCCAAAAGTATTCTTTTGTCAACCAAACCATGTCTAAAAGTATTCCCAATTCAGCTGATTTAATTGACGGCACTATCTTAGATTCAGACAGAGTCCAGTATGAAAAACTCTACAAGGAATATATATCGAAGCAACCTTTCCATTGGGAATTCTCGGTTGTTCCAGGGATTTTCAAGCAGTCGTTACCAGAGACCAACGAAGCTACTTTTGATACTATTAAAGACCATTTTGGTGTAATTCCAACGTGGGACGAAGTTGTTGAAAAATTAAACAGTTTGAATGCAAATTCAAACCCAGATGAAGTTCAGTATAAATTGTTCTTCTTAGCAAGACATGGTCAAGGGTACCATAATTCCAAACATGATGAAGATCCATTAGCATGGGAAACAAAATGGAAGCATTTATTGACAGATGGTGAAACTACTTGGGGTCCAGATCCCGAACTAACAGAATTAGGCGTGGAACAAGCTAAAGAAAACAACAAAGCTTGGAAACAAGAACTAGCTAATAATAAACACCAAAATACAGAATTGATCAAACCAACAAAGTTTTTTCTGTCTCCATTTAGCAGATCAATTGATACATTGATAAACACATGGAAAGATATCGTCGATTTCAAAGAAATTGAACCATTGATTCAAGAGAACTGGAGAGAAACTATCGGAGTAAACACATGTGATAAAAGATCTCCAAAATCAGTAATAGCCAAGAAGTATGAAGATCCTTTTGGGTTTAAATTTGAACCCGGATTTGCGGAAGAAGATATTTACTGGACACCAAGTTCTAGAGAAACAGTTGCAGAACAGGCACTTAGACAATATAAAGGTTTTGAACAGATTTTTAATGAGTTCCCCAAAGATGAAATTATTAGTATTACGAGTCATTCTGGAAGTATTCGTGCACAATTAGTGGTTCTTGGTCATAGACAATTTCCTGTTGGTACTGGAGGGATGATACCTGTATTTGTTAAAGGAGTTAAAGTTGAGTGATATACTTGTTGTATGTATTAATATAATGAAAAAAGCAGGGATCTGGAATTGTAACGATGGTCAGTTTTTGATTCCTGTTTTAATTGTAGAGGAGTAGTCACGGAACGAGTAGTTGTTGTCACGCAGCTGGGTTTGTTTGTTGCCAACGCGCAGCAGTTCAATAGATTGCAATTGCAATAAATGTAATACTTGTGCTTCCTTCATTAGTTATATATTCATCCATTTGGTGTTGTGTGTTGTATTGATAGAATCTTCTCTTTCTCTGTATGTTACTACACTGCTTATAGCAGTAAAGTATGAGTTTTGTTCACTTTCTTTATTCTCTTATTTAAGCCTATAGAAGTAAATAGAAAACTATATAATTTCGCATTCACTTCCATTAAATATTGCGTAGTAACCATGAAACTGACGGAATGTTGTGCTGTAATTCCTGTTTCATTTGTGAATTACCATTATTTAGTATGTACTGCATTGATTGTATATCTGTGACAATCACGTGATGTGTGGAGACTTTGTCGGTGTCGTACTGATGGGTATTAGGAGTCATTTGATACTTCCTTAGACCCATGTGCGACGGTTGTTTGTTGCATAAATAGAAGTGATGAATATATAACTTAAAATAGATTACTAACGTCTACGATTTAGTGTGTTCCAGTTATTGTAAGTATATTCGAATCTAATCTCTAAAACTAATACTATACAATAGAACTCTAGGAAATCGTTGAAAATATAGAACAATCTCTAAAAACAATCGAAACACCAACTGATGTCTTCAAGTGCATCATCTGAAGCAACAACGAGACACAAAGTTCATTTTGCAGTCTCACCTGGTGTGTTGCAGTACAACCGCCAAAAAAAAAAAAAAGAAACAAAAAAAACTATATAAAGAGGAAGTTTTTCCGATGACTTTTTTCAATCGACAAAGAAAAAGAAAAAGAAAAAACAATAAAAACCAAGACAACTATACATCAAATATAAATCATGTCAAAAAGTATCCCAAACCCAACTGATATACGTGAAAGTAGAGTTTCAGATTCCGATAGAACCGAATATGCAAAACTTTACAATAAACACATAGATGAGCAACCATTTCATTGGGAATTTTCCGTTGTTCCTGGAATGTTCAAACAATCATCATCACAAACTGATGAAACTACTTTCGACACTGTGAAAAGTCATTTTGGTGTGATTCCAACTTGGGATGAGGTTGTTGAAACTTTGAATAGCTTGAATGAGAATTCCAATTCCGATGAAGTTCAATATAAATTGTTTATTTTGGCTAGACATGGTCAAGGTGTTCATAATTTGAAATATAACGAAGATCCAGTAGCATGGGACGCAAAGTGGAATCGTTTATACACTGATGGAGTTAGCACTTGGGGTCCAGATCCACAATTGACTGAATTAGGAATTGAACAAGCTCTTGATAATAACAAAACATGGAAGCAAGAACTTGTTAATAATAAATACAACAATAAGGATTTGATTAAACCAACAAGATTCTTTTCGTCCCCATTTAGCAGATCCATTGATACTTTGTTTAATACTTGGAAAGATATCGTTGACTTGAAAGAAGTCAAACCTTTAATTCAAGAGCAATGGAGAGAAACAATTGGTATGAGTACTTGTGATCAAAGATCTCCAAGGTCAGTAATTGCAAAAAGATATGAAGATTTAGGATTTGTAATCGAACCAGGTTTCGCTGAGGAGGATATTTATTGGACACCAGATCATAGAGAAACAGTTGCCGAATTAGCATTGAGACAACATAAAGGATTTGAAGAAATCTTTAATAATCATACAAATGATAAAATAGTGAATATAACAAGTCATTCAAATGCCATTAGAGCTCAGTTAGTGGCTTTGGGTCATAGACAATTTGCTATTAGTACTGGTGGCACAATCCCAGTTTTCGTAAAAGCCGTTAAAGTTAAATAGAGTATAACAGATAATAGACATATATTATAGAGAATTCAGTTACGTAGACCAAAATCAACTGTGGCTACAAGATATTTGTGGGGGATGAACTCCGGAAGGATTGTGAAAGTGAAATTCGGTAAAATACTACATATTTAAAGATCAAAATTTTGGGGGATCCAAATATTGGGAATAAAGAAAAAAAAAAAAAAAAAAAAAAAAAAAAACGAAAAAAAAAAATATGGAAATTGATATGTATTTTCAACTACTATTCCAAATCAAAAGATGTCAAAAAGTGTACCTAATGCCATCGATATTAAAGATGGTATAGTTTTAGAATCAGATAGAGTTCAATATAAAGAATTATACGATGAATATATTTCAACCAAATCAACACACTGGGAGTTTTCTATAGTCCCTGGAATTTTCAAACAATCCCTTGAAGAAACCGATGAAGCAGTATTTGATACAATAATGAGTCATTTTGGAATAATACCTAGTTGGGATGAAATAATAGATCATTTACATAATTTAAATCAAGCAAGTGATGACAATGTTCAATACAAATTATTGTTTCTTGCTAGACATGGTCAAGGTTATCATAATGTGAAATTTGCTGAAGATCCAGAAGCTTGGCCTATTAAGTGGAGAGGAATGAATACTGATGGTAGACTTACATGGGGTCCTGATCCAGAATTAACCGAGTTGGGAGTTGAACAAGCAAAAGATAATAATAAAGTTTGGAAACAAGAACTTTTGAACAACAATCAACGTAATAAACAATTAATCATGCCAACCAGATTTTTTCTGTCTCCTATGAGAAGATCAGTAACTACATTGATTAATACATGGAAAGATATTGTTGATTTAAATGAAGCAAAACCATTAATACAAGAACATTGGAGAGAAACAATTGGCGTGGCAACTTGTAATCAACGTCGTTCCAAAAATGAAATAGCCAAAGATTATGAACCATTTGGATTTGAAGTTGAATCTGAATTTGTTGAAGAGGATATTTATTGGACACCAGACTATAGAGAAACATTAGGAGAACAAGCACTTAGACAATATAAAGGTCTTGAACAACTTTTTGATAATTATTCAAATGATGAAATTGTAAATATTACAAGTCATGGAAATTCCATTAAAGCTCAATTAATGGTTTTTGGTCACAGAGCATTTTCTATTGGTACTGGTGGATTGATCCCTGTATTTGTTAAAGGAGTGAAAAAATAAATACAGATTTGTTTGAAATACATTAGAGAGATTTGATTAAGACATTAGATAATTTATTTATACATTAAAATTTAAATACATATGCTAGATACGGGAAGAAAATTAGTTACGAATTATTATAGAGTCCTACCGCAGGGATTCCAAAACTCATTAACCGACTTCTCAAATTTATGATGTGGATTAATCAATTTTAATAATTTACGCAAACACTTCAACTATTTATAGTTGAATTATATAAATAGTCATACTACTAGAAAAATTACTTACCATGTATCCTATAATCAGTTTAATTCTCTCATTCGAGCTAAAAGAAACCAACTATCATGCTATTAAATTTCTTATTTTTATTTTCAAACATCTCACACAATGCACCCACATTCAACATATGCATAGATCTACATGTATTAGGAAGAATGACTTCTAAGGTATTTCACAATTACTGAAAGTGAGTATATTTCCATATATCCGTTGCATAGCTTCACATTACTTATTAATAATTTGGAGTTGGAGTTGGAGTTGGACCATAATCTGTTGTTGTCTCATTTTCTGTAGTATCACATAAATACCCGTCTGATAAATTATACTTTTGATCATGATACTTCGTTAATGAAATAGAAGGTCTTCCTATACCACTACGAGTAATTGTATCCGGAATGACACGATCAGAATTGAACGCGTCTTGATTGTTGCAATTGACAGATTTCACATCAATGGAAGTAAAGTCAAGTAACATGGAGCCGTGATGTGTGCCCTCTTGGTGATAATTTTGTTTGTATTCGATTGGAATTTGCAACATTGAATTACCTTTAGACGAATAAGCAACAAACTCTTGTGAATAAAATTCCAACTGAGCGATGAATGCACCTTGTAAACATAATTGAACAGCATTAAACCAAATACTAGATGGATTCATAATTATAAGCTTGATAATCAGAAAAGATATAAAATAATAAAATTTATTACAATTGACGCGTTCTTTTTATATTAGTTCATGTCTAAAAACATGGTTTTTCAACTCTACTATTGATATAAAACACAAAAATCAATGTTAGTGATTTTAAGCAAGGTATAAAATTATTGTCTTGTCAACGAATTGACATTTCGCTCAATAAAACTTGCAACAATCATTTTAAAGTAAAACTAAAATTTGGAATATGTAACCATTAGTATGTTCGATGTTGTCACTTGTACATTAATTATTGCTTACTAAAAGCATGCATAAATTCGCCATGTTATAATAGTTGTTCTGCATTTGTTTCCGGGAATGAAAATAGAATACTTGCTCGTGACTGTATATCACGCGTTTGTAATGAAAAGTGTCAAATCAATGGCTTAAGATTTGATGAACATTAGTGGACATTAGAGCATGCATTGTCTCACCCTTCGTTCCAAAACTATGATTCTACACTTTTAAGCATGAGCGAATTGGAAAATACAAGATAACTTTCTAAAAGTGATTGAAGCAGTAGTATATTGAAAGAGACAAAGAAGTATTAAAATATTCTTTGAAGTTCTTGCAGAGTTTATGAATACTGACAGATTCTAATTGGTCAATCTATTAAACCCGAATTATAATATAAATATCCTAAAAATATGACTTACCAAATCATTTTAAATCTTGTCTTTTTTTTTTCTCTTTCTTTATTCTTATTTTTGCTATCATCTAGCTCATGAATTATCTCCATTCAAGCATCAATTATTCTCTTGCATTAATTACGTAAGCGGCAAAAACCAAGAAACAAAAAAAAAAAAGAAAAGATTACGGCTACCAAATGTAAGCAACAATTTCGTGTAATCTAAAGAATGTTAATCATAACCGAGTTTAATAATGTTTCTATTAATTTTAATCAATGACAACGATGTAATAAACCAACCAGAATATAAATAATATGATTTACTTAATGTATACTACAAAAAATTTTTTTGATTAAAAGGCTGATAGTCTTTTCGTAATTGTTAGACTAGGTATAAATGAATGGTATTATGACAATGAACTCTTCCGTATTTGACTAGTGGCATAGAGAGCAACAATATTTTAACCCAAAAATAAAATATAATATTAAATAGACTTCTGATACCAAAGATCTAACTTTGCGTTACGTTAAAAAAAATTGCATTTAACTGTTGATTCAAACTTAATTGGATTAATTTCTTTTCAAGCAATCAGAAGTAGAATTGTCAATCCAAATGTCAATATATTTATGACCAGGGTCAATAAAGATACCAAATTTTAACAATGTTAAGAATTTTGTATGATATCCTTATTTTCCATATTACAAAGATTCACATTGTCGATAATTTTGAGGGTATAGATTATCCCCTCACAACATCAAATGCAAAATTGTGTAATCTTGTCTAAAATTAAATATTAATTTACTTAATATTCATGACTTTTATCAATAATAATTAAAAATTACAAGTATTTATTAATCCCAGTTTTAAATCTACATAAAATCATTGACATGCTAATTTTTTTCTAGTATTATTTCAACTATTGATTAATCAAATGTGAAGTCAAATTATTTGATTTTGTGATCACATTTTCTTTATTAAAGATAGTACCCATGTCTTTCACAACAATTTACTAAACCATCATGTTCAATCCTTATAATATACAAATTTCAATTGCCAAGAAGTCATCCCTAAAACTACGAACATTCATCTGGGATTATCTACGAGAATATTGTATTATTATTTCCAAAAGGTAGTGCTGAAAGTACCAAAAAAAGAAAAGATGATTATAGACATGCTACCAAAAAATCAATTACTGTGTTTTTTTTTTTTTTCATATTCCTATTTCATGTAATCATACTAATTACTAGTTGACATTGTGTGTATAAAACGTGGAGAAATGAGAGGATGAATAGTCATTACTTATAATACTTCAACAATGATTCTTGGCCACATAACTTACATAATCGTTCCTTTGTAGCCGAATAGTTTTGCAAATCGATGTGAAGATGGCTAGAGCAGAAGGCAAGAGCCATGTGAAGGGTAAATTTCATTTCATATACATAAATCTGACAAACAATTTTTTGTGCCCCCCCGTCATTTCACACCTTGTCAGGACGAAGACATAAATGA